TAAGATATGTAAACAATGTCATATGATCACTAGTGCCCAGTGGTTCAGAAACTGATAAATAATCCAATCTTTGCTCGGCTTGAGTAAATAGTAAATCTAGGCAGGAAGGAATCTGATAAGGCAGAGACCGCGTCGGTTGATGCACATGCTGTATCAATCCCATTTCTAGCACCGTATTGAGAAATGTGGTTTCCAAGTCGGTACAACCAGGGAGGGCCGTATAGCTGGACCAATTTACATGGGGAAAATTGAAGTCACCCATAAGTAGCACGTTTCGGGCGCATAGATTATTCTGAGCTCGTGTAATCCAGTCGGAAGAGATATTAGCTGGACTCCTGTAAAGCACTCCCACGTGAAAATTGCCTTTGGTGGTGATGATTTCGCACCAAATTTGTTCACAGTAACAATCATTACTCAGATAAGTGTTTTGTAACCGGCAACGTATGTCCGACTTCACATAGAGAAGCACCCCACCGTGAAGCCGCTGCTGACAATCGCAACGAAAATGCTCATAGCCAGGGGGTTTTATCTCTTGATCGAGGACAGTCAAATCCAACCAGGTTTCTGCAACACCAAGAATGTCAGTATTTACATCAGAAACCCACTGCCGCAGATCATCTCGTTTCGGTAAAAGGCTGCGTACGTTCATAAAAGCTACACGCAAGCCAGCGAACGACTCTGGCTGCGCGCTGTTAAGGTGACCGGGCGGTTTATGAATGCACGCCATTTCACTATTCGAAAATTTACGATACGTAGATCATTTTCACCGTCAAGAGTGCGCCTTCGAGGTTCCATAACAGCGGCTTTGAGCTGAGCTCGCTGAGATGGATCCATATCTGGTCTGATTGTGTTAAGCTAGCACTAAGTCCCTCCCCCATCCACCTTTATTCTTTTCTTTACAATAAGGCTTTCAACTAAGTCATGGCTGTACGGCAGTGAAGCATTGGTGTTGAGCACTGATGTCATGCTGTCGTTGATGATGATGATGATGATGATATCTGGTCTGATGTAAATATCCATACCTTTAAGTCTCCATGCGCGAGAATGTAGGCGCTTGGGAGCGTCTGCATTTTCGAATACAATTTTTAGCGGCCGGTGGATGCCCGCAACTCGTTTTCCTAATCGTAAAATTCGTCGAACTCGAATTCCTGGTTCATCAGCATCGGCTAGTTTATCAACAAGTTCCTGGAGCAGATTCAAATCATGGTTGTATCTAGCCTGTGCGCCTTCTTCGCCGGATTCTTTCGATCCAAGAACAAAACCGACCCGGGAAACTTGGGCAAAAGCCTCGATCCTGTGTATCAATCCGTGAATCCGTGAAAAATCTTGTATTGGCATTGCATGGCGTATAGGTGCATGTAATTAATTACGCGCTCTCACCGCACTATCCTTATCATCTAGGAGCTTTGGATATATTAGCACATTCTAAAGCGAGAACTAGGAAGCCGACTGCAACAGTTTTTCCGGTTCGTTGTTCGTCCGTTTAGCAGCAACACCTTTTCTGTACCCAGCTACAATGCCAGCCGAAGGAAGCACGAGGGTTGCGATATTGTCAGGTTGCCCTATCCTATACAGACACCGTGGATAGCTCGACACGGGGTCACCGCTTCGCATCACTTAAACCAGGAAGGTTCCGCGTACACTTCTGTGTCGCTTTATTTGTCCAAGAAGTGACTGAGCAGGACAACTCACTGGAACCCATTGCTAATGCACCTCTGAAGAAGTGTTTTAGAGGGATGCTGTTAAGTGATGAGTCCTAATATTGTCACAGCAACCGCTCTCCGCCCGTGGGATTCGGACGCCGCATAAACGAAGGTGATGTGACATTGGTTATCGTTCACAAGGACTGATTATCGGCCTCCCAGTCCTACATTCAATCTCCTCCGTACCTTCTGGCCAGCGTTCTCTCTAATACAGCGGTCTCATTTCGGACAGGTGCTACCTGTTCAATGCAGTCCATAGGCTGCAGAAACCTGCGGACACTGCAGAAATTTCCGCACCCGGGTGCAGACCTGCTGCAGAAATTTCTGCACCGGTGTTAACTGGGCACCTACGCCTCCTACAAACAGTCGATTGTTCCACCTAGAAAGTGTTCCCCACCTCAGTACAATGCCTCTAGGGGGTTACCTCCGAAGCTAGTAATTTCATATCGCACCCACCATGTGGTCTGTTCGGAAAAATGAGGTCCATCCAAGGCTCAGCCAAGAGTACTACAACCCTTGCCCACCACTTAAGAATGGGTGTACCACCGTGACTGCCTCCATTAGAAAATAACAGGTTATTCAGTTCATCCAGCCCGCTGAGAGAGTTATCACGCTATAAGTAACAAATACCGACGAGGGGAGTTAACGGATAGGCCAGTTACGCTGAAGACGTCCTGATCAAGTTAACACTAGAAGCCGCCTCATAAGGCAGTTGTTAATCAGGAAGAACCAATCGTTCACCACGCCTCTTGTCTGTTCGAACAGCGAAGCAAACGAGCAAAATGTGATAGGTCATCGAAACGACCTGACTCATCTCAGCCGTACAAAGGAGGGATGGTGGAGGAAACGACGAGTCGGTTCAAGCATCGACTGTTCAGCGTCATCAGGAAGAATTTCGTGATTCTTTTGAACCCATATCTCGATCACACACTAACCCGATGCGAGAGTGCAGTGGGAGTAAGCATAATAAAAACATTAACAACGACGAACTCTTGGGCCGTACCCTATATCAGCTGATACGATCAACTGACCCTAAGAAAGCAACAGTTGGTGGAAAGATGTAAAAAAGACGGCTCATTAATTCACTCACGAAAATATCGACTGGAAAGACGGGTCGAACACTTTGAAAAACAGTTTGGTTGGCCTTCTGCAACAAAGCTTGTGGAGATAATACATACGGGTGAACAGAATGCAAACCTTAATCGCCCGTGAGGAGAAGAAATAAAGTGCGAAATATCCTTGCTGAAACGTAAGAAGGCACTAGAACTAGATGGTCTCTACCCATTCCTGTTCAAAAAAGGCGGAGAATCCCTGGTGACGTCGACACTTATTCTTATCGTGAAAAGGGGTATGCGGGCGCTGTGTCAAAGCCACCGTGGCCTCAGCCCAGAAGCTGTGGCACCCAAGGTGCTCCTTGGTTTTATCCCTCGAAGGTTGGATGAACAGAGACAGGTCCGTGAAAACCAAGCTCGGTTCCGTCCTGCAGGAGGACACACCGATGATAGTCCCACCTTCCGACAGATTTTGGAACAGCGACACTGATTCCAGCAACCAAAAACTGTTGTCTTCCTTGACTTGAAAGCTGCTTTCGGCTTTGTGGATCGTCGGGCACTCTGGTAATGTCCAGGAAGCAAAGGTGGCCCTCGTAAAGACTTGGCCCTCCTTAGTGGGCTATTCGCCAACTCCCTCGAACGTGTGAAGGTCTACGGGAAGCAAGGCTGCTCCTTTCGCCTTTCTAGTCCTCGGTACGATTATGGAAGACCAACTTCCAGCCAATAGTGCTTGTGGGTCGAAGTGCTTCACTGACAGGTTTCGAGAGCGCAGAGGATATAGCTACTTTTAGATCTGACGTTATGGTAATACAAACAATATTAATTAATCTAAAAAGTCTGCCTCACGGTTTGGCATGAGCTTCACACCTGCAAAGTGTAAAGTGCTGCTGCAAGACTCGGTGGGCTCGATCTCCAACCTAATGTCTATACATGAGCTGATTGAACTAATAGGCAAATTTGTCTACCTGAGCATTTGTATCAGTTCCACTGGTCTGGTCAGAGATGATATTCCTATCCGGGTAGGGAAGGCCAGGGGGCGAGACGGCCCAAGTGGTTAGAGCGCGAATTTAATGACCGGAAGGTCCGTGGTTCGAATCCGACCCCCGCCACTCGACTTCCCCTGTCTAGGCTTGGGTGACCTGGCAGTATCCCAGCCCTCGTGCTTCCTGCGGGTGGCATGGCAGCTAGGCACCGGAAGGGTGCTACAGCTGAGCGCTATGCTATATGCTATGCTAGGGAAAGCCAGAGCAACTTTCGTGGATCTGCATCATCTGTGACGTAGGCGTGACCTCAGCTTACTCACCAAGGGTTGAGTTTACAAAGCTACGATGCGCTGCATATTATTATATGGGTCAGAAACCTGGCCGTCAAGCGCTGAAAAATCCGTCATTATTTGACGATCGATATCTTCGGAGCATTTTCCGAGTCTGATGGGAACATCGGATCAGTAATGCTGAAGTAGGTGGGATAGTTTTCGGGAGAGGTAAATTGCCCACGACAGATGAACTGATCATACTCCATAGGTTGCGCTGGCTTGGCCACGTGCTCCGTATGCCAGTCGACCGAATTCGAAGGGTTCCCTTCGTAAAACCACGCAAAGGGTGGAAATGGGCCATAGGAGGTCGAACGTTGACTTTGCAGCAACATATAAAAAACAACCTATGATATACATTACGTCATCATCATCATCGACAGCATGACATCAGTGTTCAACACCGATGCTTCACTGCCGTACGAAAAACATTACCAGCAAACTCAACTGCTCTGGTCATTGCCGCCTTCCCGGATGAGCCCCCGGGATGGGACGCATAAATGGTTAGAGACATTGTTAGAGATGGCCAAGTCGCTCCCTCACTGGTGGTCGTTCATCCAAACTATTGTTTTCGATGCGTAGATACCCTCCCAATCCCCCCAAGTCATCAGTGAACGAAACTGTAGAAGCTAGAACACCGTACTGCAAGTACGTGATTTTTACAGCTGGCAATGTTGATTATGAAACTGGTAATGTGGAATGCAGGTAGCTCGAGCGCGCTGTTTGGTTGTTGGTCTGTTCGGCGAGCTTGGCAGTTGGACTGCAAACGTTTTATCGCCAATCGAGGTGACATCGTCAGTGCAAGGTTGAGTGGGTGATGATGAAACCCCTGAGCTTGGTAACGAACACTGACTGGATTGCAGTGGATAGATTATCCAGATCATTTCTATGCTGAACGCGCGGATATTCAGTTACAGAATGAAAACGCGACTGCCACAAGGCGGATCTCACGAACTTCCTCAGTCGCTGCCCACCCTCTTCGCAGTATTCAGGAAAGTTTTCGACCGCGTCACACCTTTCTTCTGTGCTCATCTAGTGACTGTCAGCCGGTTTCTTGAATGACGTCTCTGGCGTGTGATTCAGATATCGGCTTGATGGGCGTCTTTTACGCATAGTGCTCCAAGGAGTCTGCCTCCCCCCAGACTAAGACCTGTAGCCCAACGCCTGCGTACGGTTTGACAACGTATGAATTGGAAACGAAGTATGAAAACACTAACCAGCAAACTTAGTTGGGCGACAACTGTCGTCTCATTGGATGGGGACCCTGGGACAACTCCCCACTAGCTAATGGTCCTGGAAAAAGGGCCTAATCGCGTAATCAGTGGCGCTCTTGCATCAAAGGTATCACCTCCAATGCATAGCTACCCAATTTCCGAAAAAAACCTGAACATGTCGTCGCCTCCAAGGCTCAGATGTATGCCCCACACTTTCCCGTTTTCTGGTGATTGAAACTGTAGCAGCGGGAGCTGATGAATTGAGTTGATTATAGCCAAGATGGGACGTTTGTGACCACAGTCATCATCATCATCATCATTGCCCCACACCCGTTTTCTGGTGATTGAAACTGTAGCAGCGGGAGCTGATGAATTGAGTTGATTATAGCCAAGATGGGACGTTTGTGACCGACCACATCATCATCATCATCATCAATGACAGCAACATCAGTGTTGGCACTGATGCTTCACTGCCGTACAACCATAAA